CCACCGGCGGCTTCCTCCCAAGCCACCTCTCCAACGGCACCCACGAGTCATCCCCAACCTTTGTGAGTACCCTGTTCCTAGCGACGGTAGCGTGCCGAACAGCATGGGGCCACATCAAGTTGCCCAGCCCAGATTCTATGAGCAGCGCCCTAGCTGTCTCCAGAATTGTCCGGTTCGCCCGTTCTGCTACACCGTTGGACTGTGGGGTGTAAGCCGTGGTCAGCTCCCTCTGGATGCCCTGCTTTTTGAGCCAGGCCGTCATCTCAGCTCCAAGGAACTCACCACCCCGATCTGTCCTAATCCGCTTCACCACACACTCCGCTTGCTTCTCCACGAACGGCAGCCAATCGTCCCGAATCGTGGAGGCGGCGTGATCTTTCTGCTTCACCGGATACGCCCACATTAGCCTGCTCCAGTCATCCACTATGGTTAGGAAGTACCGCTCCCCCTTGTGCCCTTGCACCGGCAGCGGCCCCACCAAGTCCATGTGGACCAGCTCCAACGGCTTTTTGCTCCTGCCAGCCACACTATGGAAGGGGAAACGGGTGAACTTTGAAAGGAGGCAAATTTCACAGTTATCATCGGGTGGTTGTCCGTTCAGCTTCAAGCCCTTAACGGCTCCATCCTTCTCCAGCTGCTTCAGCAAAGGCATTGCCACATGCCCCAAGCGTCGGTGTGCAGTTGCCCAATCCGTCTCCCCAGATCTGGCCGACACTTTCACACTAACCCCTCCAACGGCATTGCACTCCCCCTGGGATGCAGACCCCTCTCCAGCCTGCCCCCCACCATGCCACGCCAACGCCGTCAGCTGCCACATAGATCTGTACACGTCCTTGCTCTCGTGCAGATCCCAAAGCACCCGATTGCCCAGCTTCCCCTTATAAGTGCGAGCCCCATCCGTGTTGGTGTTCACCCCAGCCTTGCCAAGCTTACGGAGGGAGATAAGGTTGGCCTTCAGGTCGGGGACGAGGAGAACGTCGTGCAGCACCACCGGCTTGCCATCCGCTCCCTTAAACGCAGCTCGTCCCGCACCAGCCACCTTCAACATGTGTCCAGAGGCAGAGCACACCTCATTAATCGGTGCAGCGCGTACGTCGTCCAGCAGGTCCTTGCGCGGCGTCATTGTCCAAGCAGCGCTTGTGTCCAACACCCAATAGTCCAAGGGGTGCAGCTCTGCTCCAACCTTAGCAGATGCGTCTCCTTGCTCCCCCTTGTCTCCCACATGGAAGAATTGGCCCGCGCTGCGCTCCTTCTTCTCCGCACCGCCATTGCCCTTCGAGTTGTTGTCGGACGAATCAGCGACCATGTTGGCGCCGTTTTTCTGGTTCCTCCGCGCGCCGCCATCCTGGTGACGATTCTGGGGGGTCCATCCATCGGGTTTCTTATAGCACAAAAACCAGGAGTCGTCGTCTTTCTTTGCACCGCGTCCAGCACCACCGAAGCCACGTCCTTTGCCACGTCGGCTCCCTTGCATCCCGTAGCCGCTGCTGCCGTCGTCTCCACCCCTCAGTTGGCGGCGACGGAAGTCCTCCTCCAGAATCTTCGTCCGCACCCACTCGAGCGTCCACAAGCTCTGGTTCTGCGGCAGGCTCAATCCGCTCGTGAATTGAAGCCACGATTCCGGCAGCAGCGAGAGCATCTTCAGGCACTTGGTCTGCTCCGGGTAGGTGATTCCCGCGATCGCCAGCTTCGCGTAGAGATCACGCATCTTGTCCAGGATGGGTTGTACCGGCTCTCCCTCGCTTAGGCGCAACGCGGACAGCTCCCTCTCCATCATGAGCGTCGCAGCGACGGAGGTAGGGGCGTGCAGCTCCTTCAACACCGTCCACGCCTTCGGACCGCACTCAACCTCCGGCAGCAGGTGCATGACGTGGTGACGCTGGTTCAGCTCCAAACTCTGCGACATCAAGTAGTAGCCAGCCGAGGCGCGCTCGTCCCTATCTTCCTGAAGGGCGGGGTCACTCGGTCTAGGCTCCTCCCCAATCATTAGTTTCAGCAATCCGATCTGACGGAAATAAAGTTGCATTTTCCAGGCCCAATCATCATAGCCCTCACCATTGAACTTCTCGACGGTGAAGTTTTTCAGCACCTCCTTGATCAGCGAGCCCTGGCTTGTTCGCGCTCCCCTTGGCGCAGAAACACCAGAATCATGGCTGCCGCTACGATCTTGGGCTGAAGATTCACCAGCTACCGCCGAGGTGTTCCCCGCCATAGCTACCTATATCGAGGATCACTATAACGCAGCTCTGATACCAGCTTGTTGGTGTAAGGGCCTAATAAACTCAAGCTATTAAGACTTTATCACACTTAAAAACCTCTCCTCGGGGTCACCTCCAAGGGTCCTTGGGTGCCTGCTACAAGACCTGCCCCTATCCTCGGGTCCGAGTTTGTAGAGAGAGGGATCAAAAGGGACTTAGTCAAAACAGCAAGAGTACCTTGAACGTCGCGCAGCGTATCGTGCAGACCGTAGATCGGATTAAGCTGAGAATTTACTATATCGAAGCTCACGCTAAGAGCTTTAAAATAAGCCAAGTTGCCTCGCGAAAAAATTTGCCATTACGAAGTTATGGCTCGGACAGCGTTAGCCTAGCGTTGGAGTGCTAGCGTACTAGCGTTGACTCGGGTAGCATTCTGCCGTCGCACCGCGAAGATACGAAATTCCAGGAAAGGAGGAATTCGCTTGAATCAATTTCACTATATTCAGGTACAAAGAGAGAAGGAATAAATAGCTCTAGCTAGCAAGGACCTTGGGAATCAACCTGGGAACAACCAGGGATGGTCCCAAATAATTCCAAGCAACAGAACCAACCTGGCTGGACAAAATAGCAGGTGGTAGGTTGGTGAACAACCTCTGGTTCTGTTTTTTCCAACATGGGAAAACAACAACCAGGTTCAGGTCCTAAAAACAGAACCTGTTTTGTCTTTGCCCAACCAGCCAAATGCTGGTTCCGCTGGTTTCCCCTGGCCCGGTAGCATGCAGATACAGACAAACAAGATCCATCCTTCACCTAAATTGTACCCCTATAGTGCCTGCCCTGCTACACTATAGTCAACCAAACAAAACAGTAATTTCGAGTTGGATAGAACTGAATCTGCGCAATCAAGTAAGCCGAACCACAAAGCTTCCATCTTGGGTTCCTTTGCGAGCTCGTCCTTTCTGCTTGTACTGTTCATAGCGCGTACAATGTTATGCCGAAGCGCACATTGTGCGAGTACCTGCAAATGCTTCAAGCGAAATTTGCGAAAGCAAACAAACACACGAACATACCATTCACACGCAAATGCATTCGCACACGCATACTCGTACAAACAGACGGCAGGATGTCGTGCAATGTGAATTTGCACCCAACAGCTGGTACGTACGCCTGTGCTCTCACCTTCTCATACCTCCCTTCCGCTTCTGCTACTTTTGGTGTGGACACCTATGCCCCTTGTTTCTTCCCTGGTGATAGAGTTAGTTCAGTCGGAGCATGAGTGCTTGCCATCCACTCAAGTTCCCCGTTCCTGCCGTCATCACAACTATCCCCTTTGCTATCTGCTTCTCTGATGCCATCAGCCCCAGTTCTTCTGCCATGACCTTCCCTAACATCCTTCTCCATGCTCCAGTGTCTGTGATCACCGTCTTGACCTTCTCCCCCTCGATTGCCGTCGCCTCATTTCTCACCATCAGTTCTGAGGTCTGGCTTACCCGCCCGTCCCACGAGTGGCGAGCTACAACGTCCCTTGGTGTCGTCTCCTGTGCCTGCTGCCCCTTCTGTCCTCCCTTTTGTCGGTGCTCCTGCTGGCCGTCCTTCCCTCCACTTCGTAGTCCCATCTCTTCCCTTCCCTTCCATGCCACGTACGCGCGCTGCACCTCCTGCTCTTCTTCCCTGTCATCCTAATCCCTGGCGCTCGTTCCTGCCTCTGCTCTCCGCCTTTGTCTTGCCTGCAGCTGTGCTTGTAGCCTGCTGAGCTCATGTTCCAGCTCTTCCGGGTTCCCCTTTGCTGTCCCCTCCCGCTGGTAGCAGTCCTTCGCTTCACGTCCCTTCTTGTTAGAAATTTCACACCACGATGCATCTGGGCACTCTCTCCTCAAGTATCCTGGCTTCCCACAGCGATCACAGTTCTTGCAATCTCTCCTAACGTGCCCCGACTGTCCGCATCTGTAGCAGGTCCTGTTGTCTGCCCTACCATCCCCTCGTCCCTCTAACCTTCCCTGATCTCCAGATACTATTGCTGGTGCCCTTATCGGCCCACGGCTCCTCTCTGTCGTTTGTGGCCGGTACGCTTCAAACTTCCTCTGCGCAAACTCTATTTTCTCTGCCAACTCGAAGACTTCATCCAGCGTTGTGTCTGCCCCCATTTCGTACACCCTCATCCGCAATCCGCTTCCCATGGTGCTGTCGAGTCCATCCAGGAACTTGCTAACAAGAAGGCCCATGTCTGCACATGTTACATCCTCCGCCAGGTTGATCAGCCGGTTGTAGTAGGTAAGCAACGACTCGCTCCACCCTCTCCTGAAATTCTGAAATTCTCTTATCTTCTCCGCGGTGTGCCCTGGAAACTGCCGCTGTAACTGCTTCAGAAATGCTTCCGTGGGGTCTTCCCTGTACCTTCCTGCCCTCTCTAGAAACTCATCCATCTTCATTCTGTACAGCGTTTCCGCCTCCCCTTCCAGTGTGTTCAGCAGACTCAGGAAAAAATCCACCCAGTCCATACCACTCCTCTCGCACCTGTATCTCACATTCCCTACTTGCATTAAGTAGTTCTTGAGTGAGGGCCCTGTGCGCTGATCTCCCGCACTTCCACTTGCGCAAACATCACCGTGCTCCCCCGACCGTCTCCCCATGATTTACTCAGTCCTCTCGCCTGCCTTCCTGATGACTCCCTCCTCCTTGCCCTCTTGATTCTTTCCCTTGCCACTCTGGTGCGCTCCGTGCTGTATGCCAGCCCGCCGCCTCCCCCTTCGCGTCCGCGCTGGTCCTGTCCCACCTCCCTTCGCATGTCCTCCGCACTCATCCATGCTCCTGCTCGCCCCGACTGCCTCTCTGGCGAGTAATGCGCCCTCGCCCAGCCTTCTCTATGCGTTCCTCGCTGCCAATGCCTCTCGGGCGAAGGGGATCTCTCGTCCCTTCTCCCTCCGTGCCCGCGACGACTGTCTTGCAGATGCCACTCCTCCTCCCATCTCCCTCCCTGCTTGCGCTGCAGACCTGGCGAACGTGTCTCACCCCTTGCCTTTCCCGCGTAGTGCCGCCACAGATCAGGTGAGCCAGACCCGCCAGTCTGTCGTCTATCATGTTGCCCATGCCGATCAGGCGAGCGCGACCCGCCCCCCTGCCTCCCATCATGGTGCTGACGCACCTCACGCGAGCGCGACCCTCCGTTCCGCCCTCCTCCGCGCAGCCAACGCGGATCAGGTGAGAACTCGTCCTCGCGCACTTCCTGTTGCTCCTCCGCCCGCCCCCGCTGCTGCTCTAATGAATGATTCGCCTTCTCACGCCTCTCCTGCTTCCTGCATCGGCGCCGCTCCAGATTATACCCATATTTCTCCTCTTCACTATACTCATGTTCCTTCGCTTCACATAGCTCCTCATCACTCCATTTCATCTTCTCCCTCCCTTCCTTACCCTCAGGGGAATCTTCTTGACACCGCCTTCCTCGTCCGCCTGCTCCTCGGCGCCCATGATATTCTCTTACCCTTCCCTTGGCACTTCCCGAGTCCTTCCTTGGGGACACATCTCGCTGGCAGCGCTCTTCCTCATCCCTCCTCCTGTGTCTCTCTCTCTCACTTGTCTCCCCCTTGCCTCTCCGCCAGGCTCCAGCACCAACCCTGCTCCTGCGCACGGGTACTCTTTCATTCCTTTACGGCGTGCTCTCGCATCCGCCCTCGCGATGTACTGCGACAAACACTCACTCCCCTTAATACGCGCTTCCCCCTCCTCCTGCCGCTGCTGTGCGGGCCAAGGTTGCGCGTGCCCCCTACCGCGGTCGTTCCCCCTTTCCTCTCGCCGCAGCTCTGGTGATCGCCTTCCACCCAACGCCAGGCACCTCCTGCGTTCGTGTCCGCGTCTTGGTTCAGGCAAGCCATACATACGATTGGGTGCAAATTCACTTTGCACGACATCCTGCCGTCTGTTTGTACGAGTATGCGTGTGCGAATGCATTAGGGTGTGAATAGAATGTTCGTGTGTTTGTTTGCTTTCGCAATTTTCGCTTGAAGCATTTGCAGGTACTCGCGCATTGTGCGCTTCGGCACAACATTGTACGTGCTATGAACAGTACAAGCAGAAAGGACGAGCTCGCAAAGGAACCCAAGATGGAAGCTTTGCGGTTCGGTTGAATTGATTGTGCAGATTCAGTTCTATCCAACTCGAAATTGTACTGTTTTGTTTGGTTGACTATAGTGTAGCAACGCAGGCACTATAGGGGTACAATTTAGGTGAAGGTTGAATGTTGTTTGTCTGTATCTGCATGCTACAGGGCCAGGGGAAACCAGCGGAACCAGCATTTGGCTGGTTGGGCAAAGACAAAACAGGTTCTGTTTTTAGGACCTGAACCTGGTTGTTGTTTTCCCAGGTTGGAAAAACAGAACCAGAGGTTCTTTACCAACCTACCACCTGCTGTTTTGTCCAGCCAGGTTGGTTCTGCTGCTTGGAATTATTTGGGATCATCTCTGGTTGTTTCCAGGTTGATTCCCAAGGTCCTTGCTAGCTAGAGGTATTTATTCCTTCTCTGTCTGTACCTGAATATAGTGAAATTGATTCAAGCGAATTCCTTCCTTGCTGGAATTTCATTTCTACGTGGTGCGATGGCGGAATGCTACCCGAGTCAACGCTAGTACGCTAGCACTCCAATGCTAGGCAAACACTGTCCGAGCCATAAGAGGATCTTACGAAGTTCGGTGACAAGGACAACCCTAAGGAGGATGTCGGCGGGAGTCAAGGGGAGGTGTGCTTCTACTGCAAGAAGCGCAGACATCGTTGGCGGAAGTGCTACCAACGACCCAAGGATTGGACCCCACCTTTATTGAGCATCTAGCATGGTGGCAAGAGGAGTGGGGGAGTCATGGTAGCTAGTGGAGAGGAGAAGGATGACGAGAAAGGCGGCAAATCTGAGGAGCGGAAGGCCGGGTTCTTCTTCTTCGTGAACGAAGGCGCAACCGACCTTGCTATGGCTGCCAAGGTTCTCCAACATCCCCTCACCCATTGGGTGATTGATTCCGGGAACTCTTGGCACATGACTCCTCGTGCGGACTTACTCGATAAGATTCAGCCCGCACCTATCTCTATGGTCACATCCGCGACGAGCGCCAAGGCCGAGGCCTAAAAACTAATATCGACCAAGTTCAGATCTTAACAAAACAGTACTCTTAATTAAAAAGCCGTAAGAGAAAAGGGCAGAGATTTCAGAACATTCAAGGGCCGGGCTTATGATGAAACTACACACCGTTAGCATCTCCCACCTCCTGACATCTCATTTGCTTGTTTGAAATAGTCAACATCTTCTTGGTCATAGAGATCATCCATAGCATATATCGTGTCACATGATTGCGAGACGTTTGACATTGAGCACTTCTCAGGATATGAAAACATACTACCTTAGATGTCATCTCACGGAAAAAACCACCACAGCAGCACACAAAAGTGTGGGGAGAAGATCAGAAACTTGACTCAGCCACCTACACGCAAGCAGAAAATTTTTTAAGCCAGAAACATAGTCCTTTGTATTGCAAAGAGGAAATTCTGTTTGACTACTGTAGCTTAGCTTGTGGTTACACCGTATACCGCTCATAGATGCCCTGCGACCAGAAAGACATTCAATTGACAACCGTCTTAGAACATTTACCAACCACTCTCCCTTGCTTTACCGTTTTATTCTGAAGCAGGAGGGGAGGGGGAGAGGGAGGGGGTGTGGAAGGGGGAGGGGGAGGGGGAGGGGGAGGGGGAGGGGGAGGGGGAGGGGGAGGGGGAGGGGGAGGGGGAGGGGGTGTGGAAGGGGAATGGCGAGGGAAAGGGAGGGGGAGGGGTAGGGGGGAAGGGATGGAGAGGTGGAGCAGGTGGGGGAAAGATTCCAGCCGACCTCGCACCCATTGCAGATGTATGTCACTTTCAAGGCCTTGAGTGCTCTGGAATGTCAAACATTGTATGATGTGCTTGTTTAGGCTACAGTGGGTTAGCCTATAGTGGGTACACATTTCTAAGGTTAGGTTTGACCTATTTGTACCCAACACTCATTCTAGTCATTCATTCTCGTTTCTGATTCTGACATGGAAGGCATGTACATGTTAGAGCATATAAAACTATATCAGGACTTGCCTTAGTTCAATCAGACGTACGGAAATTTCCTCTGCAGGAATGCAATTGAGGAAAGGTCATGCTCCAAAGAATGGTTGTGATTCAAAACGCAGCTCCTCCAGCCCCTCATGCCCAGATATTACAGCAACAATATTTTTTAAGCCTGATGCGCTAGAAAGTTGTCTGACATGTCAAATATCTGCAAATACTCTCAAAAGCGCCTACACTTTAGGGTCCATAACATGCGTCATGCATGCTAAAGGTGTGATCTTATCTTAAGAGAGGGCCAGTGAGACAGACGGCTACACACAGATAAGACATCATTAATTCCTGCACCCAGCACAACAGGGTTAGTGCTAACGCAAATATGCGAGCATGTAAAAACCAGCAAGACACACCTGTTCCTCGAATATCAAGATGCTCTAGACCCGAAGATGCTTTAAGGCCTTCTAACAGAAATGGTACTGCTTAAGAGAAATGATTCCCAGCTAGCACCACCGTTTTCAAGGTCGAGCCTGCAAAAAAAGAAAATCTCGCTAGCTGCTTTCTGTATTGTGAAAAAACTATTTTGCAAATTGTGGACTCACACTGTTTTAGAGCAATCGCAATGGCAATTCCACCCTTCTCACGAAGGCTGGCATGGGCTATGCCCAGGTGCGATAACGTTCGTGACGGTCTTATTACGCCACAAACGATCAAGTTATGTTCTGTCTCACATTTCGAATAGCCTGCAGAACAGCACACATGTGAGTTCCATTTGATGGCAAGCGGATTGTAGATAAGTCGTACTTAGAGTGCAACGTTCGAAATTGAGTCGAGTCAACTGAGACACTCGAAGCGAACGCATCTTCCTCAGACAGTTCCAATCTATTGAGCATCTAGTTAAACTGATACTTGTGACAGGGTCCTGCATCTAGAAACAAATAATACAGCAAGAACGCAGTATAGGAAATTATGATGTAGGATAAAGAAGACTCACCTCATTTCCATCTATATAGAGAAGCTCCTTGTAGACGTCGCGAGCATGCACTTCGTTCTGTAAAACTATACGGCCCTGCAATAGAGAGCTTAACATAGAAGAAGAATAACAAAAGCAATACGGATGAGGGAGGTGCTCTTTCTCACCCGGTCTTCAAACATTTCTTTCAACCAAAGGTCACGTGAAGTGTTTTAGTCCGAACGAATGTGATGAATGAGTGCACGGGTGGGTAACAAGCCTAAAGTACAATGATAAGGTTCTAAAACTGCGGAACTTTTGGAAACGTCTTGGCAAAAATGCAACTAACGACTGATCCTCTCCAAAATATTAGAGATTCGTATTCTACTAACATATATTAGCTTGACGGTGTCCCTCATCACTAGAAGCGCGGAACGATAATCAAGCGATCGCAAACCAATGGTGGGATGGAGATAAGCGGAGTGGCGAGCCTGGTTAACGCCAACAGACCACAGTGGATTCTTTGGGAGTTGAGAGCTACCGAACTGCGACAGCGAGGCCGAGAATGCGAAGTCCTGTTTCGCTAGAGGCGAGGTCGTTGGGCCGTTTGATGTCGTGCACGCTGATAACTTTAATGATGTCGTCGTCGTCGTCGTCCTCGACTAGGTTTGCCCGTACAATGCTTGAGTCGTATGCCTCACGTGTGACGTCGTCAGGGTCGGGTTGATACAAAAAAAAAAAACGAGGCTGGAGTGGGCTTGTAAGGGGGATGGTTGGATAGTTTTCGTCGTTTGGGATGGATAGTTTTCGTCGTTTGGGATTATTAGTTTTCGGAAAACATCAAATTGGTGCGGAAGAGTAGGAGGGGGAAGAGCAATGAAGGGATGGGTCAGTCCTGACAGTAGGATTTATCCCAAATTAGCCTTTTTGAATAAATATGTCATGAATTACAATCAAATTGCATTATATGATACGACATCCAGATTACATTTAAAGTTCTGGTTTGGGCAGACAAACCCCCGCCACATCACATCCTCTATTGCATATACATTTCCTCGGATTCCCCGCCATGCAGTAAGCAAGCTGGCTTGAGAAGTCACGATCGATTTACCCCCGCAATTGTTGTAGGTAGCCGAGAACCCCGCCATGCCCGCCGGCGCACACTCAACTGCTCAGATTCCCATCGACAATGGGGCGGCAGTGCACGCTCTTCTCCAAGGACACACTAATCTCCAGCCAACCATAGTCCCATCGCGTGGCTCTTGTAACACAACATCGCTCACCGCTGATCCACGGATGGAAGACGAAAACCACAGCAGCGACGAGAACTTCAGCGGCACGGAGTCAGATTACGACTCGGGAGATGATAAGTTACGTGAACCGGCGGAAGTCAACTGGAGGAGAGGGTTTAATAATCTACGCACTGAAGGTTGGCACTGGAGATCATGGCCATGCTATCTTCCCGGCTGTAGCCCTCGCGGAAAACGTTGGAAGGATTTCCAAGCATATGAGTAGCACTGCTTGGATAAGCACCGTCAAAGCTCCATCACCAGGAAATGGACGACGTTCATGCAGGAACAACGGCAGCAGAAAGGAAACCCGGTGGCGAGATGTGGGTGTCCGAGGATGATGTTAGGTGCAAATTCACATTGCACGACATCCTGCCGTCTGTTTGTACGAGTATGCGTGTGCGAATGCATTTGCGTGTGAATGGTATGTTCGTGTGTTTGTTTGCTTTCGCAATTTTCGCTTGAAGCATGTGCAGGTACTCGCACAATGTGCGCTTCGGCATAACATTGTACGCGCTATGAACAGTACAAGCAGAAAGGACGAGCTCGCAAAGGAACCCAAGGTGGAAGCTTTGCGGTTCAGCTTACTTGATTGCGCAGATTCAGTTCTATCCAACTCGAAATTGTACTGTTTTGTTTGGTTGACTATAGTGTAGCAGGGCAGGCACTATAGGGGTACAATTTAGGTGAAGGTTGGATGTTGTTTGTCTGTATCTGCATGCTACAGGGCCAGGGGAAACCAGCGGAACCAGCATTTGGCTGGTTGGGCAAAGACAAAACAGGTTCTGTTTTTAGGACCTGAACCTTACTACCTGCTGTTTTGTCCAGCCAGGTTGGTTCTGTTGCTTGGAATTGTTTGGGATCATCCCTAGTGGTCCCCAGGTTTATTCCAAAGGTCCATGCTAGCTAGAACTATATATTCCTTCTCTGTTTGTACCTGAATATAGTGAAATTGATTCAAGCGAATTCCTCCCTTCCTGGAATTTCATTTCTACGCGGTGCGACGGCGGAATGCTACCCAAGTCAACGCTAGTACGCTAGCACTCCAACGATAGGCTAACGCTGTCCGAGCCATAACTTCGTAATGGCAGAACTTTTCGCGAGGCAACTTGGTTTATTTTAAAGCTCTTAGAGTGAGCTTCGATATAGTAAACTCCCAGCTTAATCCGATCTACGGTCTGCACGATACGCTGCGCGACGTTCAAGGTACTCTTGCTGTTTTGACTAAGTCCCTCTTGATCCCTCTCTCTACAAACTCGGACCCGAGGATAGGGGCTGGTCTTGTACCAGGCACCCAAGGACCCTTGGAGGTGACCCCGAGGAGAGGTTTTTAAGTGTGATAAAGTCTTAATAGCTTGAGTTTATTAGGCCCTTACACCAACAAGCTGGTATCAGAGCAGCGTCATAGTGATCCTCGATATAGGTAGTGTTGGGTGCAAATTCACATTGCACGACATCCTGCCGTCTGTTTGTACGAGTATGCGTGTGCGAATGCATTTGCGTGTGAATGGTATGTTTGTGTGTTTGTTTGCTTTCGCAATTTTCGCTTGAAGCATTTGCAGGTACTCGCAAAATGTGCACTTCGGCATAACATTGTACGCGCTATGAACAGTACAAGCAGAAAGGATGAGCTCGCAAAGGAACCCAAGATGGAAGCTTTGCAGTTCGGCTTACTTGATTGCGCAGATTCAGTTCTATCCAACTCGAAACTGTACTGTTTTGTTTGGTTGACTATAGTGTAGCAGGGCAGGCACTATAGGGGTACAATTTAGGTGAAGGTTGGATGTTGTTTGTCTGTATCTGCATGCTACAGGGCCAGGGGAAACCAGCGGAACCAGCATTTGGCTGGTTGGGCAAAGACAAAACAGGTTCTGTTTTTAGGACCTGAACCTGGTTGTTGTTTTCCCAGGTTGGAAAAACAGAACCAGAGGTTGTTCACCAACCTATCACCTGCTATTTTGTCCAGCCAGGTTGGTTCTGTTGCTTGGAATTATTTGGGATCATCCCTGGTTGTTCCCAGGTTGATTCCCAAGGTCCTTGCTAGCTAGAGCTATTTATTCCTTCTCTGTTTGTACCTGAATATAGTGAAATTGATTCAAGCGAATTCCTTCCTTGCTGGAATTCCTTTTCTACGCGGTGCGACGGCGGAATGCTACCCGAGTCAACGCTAGTACGCTAGCACTCCAACGCTAGGCTAACGCTGTCCGAGCCATAACTTCGTAATGGCAGAACTTTTCGCGAGGCAACTTGGCTTATTTTAAAGCTCTTAGAGTGAGCTTCGATATAGGAAATTCTCAGCTTAATCCGATCGACGGTCTGCACGATACGCTGCGCAACGTTCAAGGTACTCTTGCTGTTTTGACTAAGTCCCTCTTGATCCCTCTCTCTACAAACTCGGACCCGAGGATAGGGCTGGTCTTGTACCAGGCACCCAAGGACCCTTGGAGGTGACCCCGAGGAGAGGTTTTAAGTGTGATAAAGTCTTAATAGCTTGAGTTTATTAGGCCCTTACACCAACAAGCTGGTATCAGAGCTGCGTTATAGTGATCCTCGTTATAGGTAGCTATGGCGGGCAACACCTCGGCGGTAGCTGGTGAATCTTCAGCCCAAGATCGTAGCGGCAGCCAAGATTCTGGTGTTTCTGCGCCAAGGGGAGCGCGAACAAGCCAGGGCTCGCTGATCAAGGAGGTGCTGAAAAACTTCACCGTCGAGAAGTTCAATGGTGAGGGCTATGATGATTGGGCCTGGAAAATGCAACTTTATTTCCGTCAAATCGGATTGCTGAAACTAATGATTGGGGAGGAGCCTAGACCGAGTGACCCCGCCCTTCAGGAAGATTGGGACGAGCGCGCCTCGGCTGGCTACTACTTGATGTCGCAGAGTTTGGAGCTGAACCAGCGTCACCACGTCATGCACCTGCTGCCGGAGGTTGAGTGCGGTCCGAAGGCGTGGACCGTGTTGAAGGAGCTGCACGCCCCGACCTCCGTTGTTGCAACATTGATGCTGGAGAGGGAGCTGTCCGCGTTGCGCCTGAGCGAGGGAGAGCCGGTACAACCTGTCCTGGACAAATTGCGCGACCTCTACGCGAAGTTGGCGACCGCAGGAATCACCTACCCGGAGCAAACAAAGTGCTTGAAGATGCTCTCGCTGCTGCCGGAATCGTGGCTTCAATTTACGAGCGGATTGAGCCTGCCGCAGAACCAGAGCTTGTGGACGCTTGAGTGGGTGCGGACGAAGATTCTGGAGGAGGACTTCCGTCGCCGCCAACTGAGGGGTGGAGACGACGGCAGCAGCGGTTACGGGATGCAAGGGAGCCGACGTGGCAAAGGACGTGGCTTCGGTGGTGCTGGACGCGGTGCAAAGAAAGACGACGACTCCAACGACCAACAAGGAGGTACCGGTTGGGGTCGCGGTGCGAAATTTGGACGTGGGGGCAA